AGGAAGAGACATGCATAAAAGACAACCTTCTGGAGCCCTGCTGATGAGCAGACAGTGTAATGATGTGGGGTCTGAGTCGGGGAGGGGGAGGTTGAGGCTCAGGGACCTTGGAAACTCTAGTAAATTTGGGTAAATTCAGTCAGTATTGCTGTCAGGTTTGCTGCCAATCCATTTGGGGTCTTTGTGAGAAATAGAAAAATATGTGTGTGTGTGTGTGTCCCCCCCTCCCCACAGGTGGATACATCTCTGCTCTGGTTTACACAGATGATGAATCAGAGCATGGGCTAGATTTCAGTTCCCACTTGCTCCAGTGGCCAGAGTCCTTTTGCAGGCAACCATCTATCTGCTCAACTGTACACAGAGGCCCTGGATGGATTGAGAATTCTCTTTTGGCTAAAAGCTAATTTGTGCCCACACACATGAAACTATTTGGAAAGAGCAAGATACTATTTAGCAGGAAGACTATACGGATTGCATTTGTAGATAAAAGTTCTCCTAAGGGATGTAAACTAATAAGAGATACAGAGATAATAAGGGATAGCATGCTTGACTTGATCTCTCCAACTTCTAAAAATGTCTGTCAATAGGAATAATATTCTCCTAGTCCCTCTCCTATCCTGATTTTCTATAGAAACGGTTGCACACTTGTGCAACCATATATAGGCAAGTTAATTAGACCCTCAGTACATTGGTTTCTTCATCCTGGAGCTGAGGTAAGGATTAAAAAATGTTAATACATGTAAAGCTTAGAACTGGGTCTGGCATTTACCATTAACACGATAAATGTTAGCCATTTTTTATTATTTGCACCATCCACATGTTAATGAGAATGTTAAGGCTGGATGGGCTGCAGAGGCCATCTGGGAAACATTTATGCAGAAAATAGTTTTCTAGCTAAGCCTTGGAAAATGGATAGGATTTCAATAGGTAGAGAAAACAGGGGAAGACATTTCCAGGCACTGGGAATAAAGGTGGAATATTCAAGTATGGTTAACAGATATATTTAGCAGAAACCAAGTGGAATGTGTAGGAAAGGGGTAGAAAATAAACCTGAAAGCTAAATTGAGGGCACATAATAAGGCATCCAGAATTCATTCTACTCTCTCTGGTCAGCAATAAAAATCAAGAAATTTAACTTGCAACCCTCTGCAATCTGGCTCCCACCCTGTGGGCTTCTTTTCTCAAAGGTCTTCTAAGGCAGTGCTTCTAAAACTTGGAAATGAAAACCAATAACTTGGGGACCTTTCTAAAGTGCAGGTTCTGATATGGTAGGTCTTAAGTGAGGCCTGAGACCCCACATTTTTAACAAGTTTTCAGGGGCTACCATGCCCCTGATGCTTATCTCAGGACCACACTGGGTACCAGGGGCTAATCCAGTGGCCTCTTTCATTTTCATCCTTAACCCCTCTACACTGTTAGGCCTTGGTGATCTTCCTGAAACTCTCATCATTGGCTTATGATTCATATGCTACTACTTGAGGCTGAGAATGCAGACTAGAAGTCTATAAAACTCCAATACATATTGACTTATCTTGAGCACACCTTTTATCCTATAAAACACAGTTGCCATTGGTAACAATATCCAGGTTTAATAGCTAGATATAAACTACAAACTCAAGGCCAGCATTTGGATGCATATTGTCCAAGCAACTGTCAGTACATCAATCTCTTTGGTCTTTTAATTACAAATATTACAAACCATCTTTTAATAAAACATAAGCTTATATCATTATAAAAGACAGCTATTGCCCATCTCATGATGTGTGTAGCTTCTCTGGAAAATAATTTCCCTGAGATCCCATCCCACCCCCACATCCACATGGGCATTGGCTATATTCAATTGGTACAGAGGTGGGTCCCTGACCAATACTGGATTATTTTGAGTCTTTCCTCAAGATTTTACACTAGCACTAAAAAATGGAAAACCAGTCTCTTGCTCTCTCTACAGAAATCAAGAGCATGAAAGCTCAGGAGCTATTGGGGAACACCTTCTGCCACGTGGATGGAGGAGCAGACAAGAGCAGAAAAAAGACTGATGCAAACACCAGGAGCACAGGGAACTCGCTCCACAGCGTGGCACGTGGACAACCGTGCACATCTCCACGCAGACCATGTAGGCAAGGCTTACACAGCCACAGTCGGACCTGAGTCTTGGCAGAATGCCCGGGATTTCTTCTAGCGTGAGGGAAGATCAGCCGCCTGCTAAGGAGCTGCTGAGGCTGTTTCTCCCATTATCTTGTGGAAGGCTGCCACAAGGCCATTTCTCATAGATCTCCCTAATTTCAGTTGAGCACAAGAATTTCCACCTCACTCCCACTACAGACTTCAGTGTAAGTCTATAAAGCTGCTTGGCTGTGGTTCTGAGGGACCCACTGCTCATACAGCCTATCATCTGGCCAGTTCACTTTGGTGTTATCTGTGGCATAAGGGACACAGGAAACTGACACCATAATGACTTGCTTTTGCTGTCTGTGTAAGTAATTAACTGTCTGAATCCATTTGGGCACGTTTACTCCTCACCGGGCAAATCTATGGAAGTACAGCAAGTCATCCTAACAGCTGTAGTAATATTACATGTGACCCTATTATTGGCCACCACCTTGCTGCCATTTGACAAAGAGAAAAAGGAAGAGATGGCAAGAATTCATTCACTTTCTAAGTTCCCCTTAGTGGCCCAGCTCTTAATTTTAATCTATCCCAGGAATGCATCCCAGACCTGAATGCCATGAAGTACCCTGGTATTTCTCTAATAAACCTCCCAGCTTTTTTTTTCCCCTTAAGAAATCCAGTCTCAGTGGAACCTTAAGCTTTGCCCAGCTGGTGTGGCTCAGTGGGTGAGTGTTGACCCATGAACCAAGAGGTTGCCAGTTCGAATCCCTCGAACTAGATCCAGGTTGTGGGTTCAATCTCCACTGGGGGGCATGCAGAAGGCAGCCAACTGGTGTTTCTCAAAAACTGGTCATAATTTGAAGTAGCTATCTCTCTATCCCTCTCCCTTCCTCTCTCTCTAAAATCAATAAAGAACATATTTTTTTTTAAAAAAAAAATCCAGAATGCATTTTTAGCCTTTACCATCAAAAGATAACATAATACACACACACACACACAAAGGTGTTGCATTTGATGACAGTATCAGTAATCAGAACTCCAGTGCTAGAGATTCACATGCATTTCCTGTATTTATTAAAATTCTAACTCTCTAGTATATTAATTTCTTTTGGGCCCTTGACCTAGTATATGTAATATGATTAGCCTACACTTATTAAAGTCCAATAAAAATCAAATTTCATGAAAAAAATTTAATAAAAATGTTATTGGCCAAGTAGAAGAAACTGTGACTCCTTTTTTGCTGTGAGGAAAGTGTAAATTACTCCCATCATTTATCAATAATTCCATAGTACTAAATGTATAATCAACTATGCTATGTTTGATTTATCTTATAAATGTATTAAAATTTTCATTAATAATAGTTACAACTGTAAGAACATGGTGGAGTCACATGTTATACTTGTGACAAATATTTATCATCCAACAAAACAAATTAAGTAGGATTAGAGTTTGATCTACATTTAACATCCCTTGAGTTTAGTTGTGTCTAATACATAGTGTGATCATCTAAGCCAATATACAGATGATTGTGAATAATTAGTCACAATTTAGTATGTTCACCAATTAACTTCACTTTCCTATTTGGCCAGCTGAGTTGTTTTGTGTTTTGTTTTGTGTTTTTTTTTTTTGGTCAGGATCATGGACTCTGAATCAAGTGAGTCAGGGCAGCTGCTAGAGTCTTGAATATTGTGGAATTTAACCAAAATGGTGAATAAGTTGGTGCAAACTCACCATCACTACAGAAAAACAACAAAAAAGTAGACAGTGGAGCCACCGACATCATAAGAATGGACAGGCATAACACCGTTACAAATAATAAACTCATGTCCTGATTGCCATATTAATGAAATATCATCTTTATGAAATGTATAGATTGTAGGTGATACATCTGGCTGCTTGTGGTACCTCTGAGGTGCAAGTAGTTCATGACATAATGAAAACTGGTCATAACTTGTAGTGGTTCCTTATAAAAACTCCAAATTCATTTGAAAATAAATTTTACTAGTGAAAGTTCATTGCTTTAATATGATTTATTAGAGTTACTGTACTATAATTTATTAAGAGAATATCTACCTTTATATAAATGTTTTATGGTGATGAATGAATTATAGTAATTATTTTTACATTTATAATAAAAATGCATCACAACATGTAAGATTCATTTTCAATCAACTCATAATTTATATTTTAAAATGCCTTTAAAATATGTTCATATAACATAATGTCATGGGTAACTTTCTCTAGCCACTCTTAGCAATTATTTCCATGATTAGTATCACAGTTTTTTTCTAAATGTTTTTTTGCACACAGCGTAACTCCCCATAAATTAATGTGAGCCCAATCTATCAAAGGTGTTTATATGTGTTAACATATGCATTTAATTTTAATATGCCTATGTAAGGCACGAGTAGCCCCAAGCGAGCACGGTATGCAATAAGAAGACCCGTGGAGTCCCGAGGTACACATTTTAATGAGGGAGGTCGGAGTTATGCAAGATCTGAATTAACTCTTAGAAAGAGGCTACAATTGAGACGAAAAACGAAGTCTGACGGAAACTTTACCGTCTCAACTAAAGCAACCAGCGAGGCAAACAGGCCTCCTCAAAGCTGCAGGCCTTGCGGCGGCCACCTCGCCTCTCAGCCCGGAACCAAGGAGGCGGGGAACCCCCAGCGGCCGCGCGAGCGCCCGGGCGACTTGACCCCGGGGCACCCGCCCGCTCCCGGCCTCCTTTGCTCCCGCTCCGCCGGCTCCGGCTGTGGCGGCAGCGCGGAGGGAGGGGAAGAAGGCGAAACTTGGAGACCTGTCTGCAGGCGGAACGTGGAGACCTGTCTGAGAAACGTTTGGGGACACGCAGAGATCAAAAGCGACTCGCCTCCGGTGGGCGGCCTTACCTGCGGAACCCCCGGCCGCGATCTGCCGGGAAGCCTCCTTCACGAAGCCGGCCTCGGCCTGGGCAGACATCTCCGCGGCGAGAGGAAGGGCGAGCTCGCGGGCTGAGTGCGGGGCCGGCCGCGGAGCCTCCCGACCGAGAGAGCCGGGCCGG